TGCCTGTTTTTGTTATTTGTGTCCTTGTTATATCCTGCAAGTTTTATGGCCCAGAGGGAGTAACAGTGTGATTTGGGGCTTATCTTTGTTAAGGTTGAATACAGTAATGGCTATGTTATCTGTCATGCTTTGAAAAAGAGAAAAAAAGTGGGTGCTGATCAACTGTAATGCATGTTGCCCCAGGTGGATTTTTTTCTCTTTATTCTACTCCGGAAGATCAACATCTGAATTAAATTATACTGATCTTAACCAGTGTATTATTATTGTTTCAAAAATCCTTTGATCTGTCTAAAAAGTCAGAAACAAGAAGTAATGAATTTTTTTGCAACCTCAACATTGTTATTGCCCTCAGAGGTGTTTAAAAAAATTGTTACACTTATACTAAAAAGAACTTACAATATTAAATATTTCTTATGAAGAAGATTAATAATTCTAAATCTGGGACTTAGTCTCCTCTGTGCCAGGTAACACTTTGTACTTTATCTCTCAAAGCTGAAATAATGTTTAAGTATTTTGTATTGCTGATCACAAATAGGCCTTTTCCTTTGTGCTTAACACAGTCCTTGAATGGGTGCAGATGTTGGTTTCCCTTCTTTTGTAGGTGTCAGTGCAATCGAAGTGGTTGTGGAACATGGCCTGGCTACCCCAGAAGGCCTGACAGTAGACTGGATAGCAGGCAACATATACTGGATAGACAGCAATCTGGACCAAATCGAAGTGGCAAAACTAGATGGTTCCTTAAGAACGACACTAATAGCAGGAGCCATGGAACACCCCAGGGCCATTGCTCTGGACCCAAGATATGGGTAAAGAAGTTTGCCTTTTACAGATTCACTTTGGCATTAAAAATTATGTTTCAGTTTAATACTGAATTCTATTATCTCATTAATTAAGAGTGAAAGTGCTTAGTTTATGCATATATATATATATGTGTGTGTATGTATATTGTGTTTGTGTGTTGTTGTTATATACAACAATTAGTTTAAGTTTATTACAACAAGTTTGGTTTTAGGATTGCTTATATAGGTACTTTTAGAGGCTAGAAATTTCTCCTAAATATGGGCGTTAGGCCCTATTGGAAACTGTTGCAACTTTTTTTCAGAGCAACAATTTAACAAATTTCTCTTTGCCCTGCCAAAGAGATTGTGTAATTGTTTCTAATGGTTGCAAATCATAGGACCAGTCATTGTTCTAAAATAATCATAAATGTTGACCTCATCATCCTTTATTTTGTATGTTCTTGGAGTCAGTTTAAAAGAAAATTAAAATAAGCTTGAAG